GGAGCCAAAAACTGACAAGACAGCAGACATGCAAAAAAAAAGCGTCCCGTAGGCCGCTCGCTCAAAATTCATGGAAACCAGGCTTCTCTCACATCGAACAAGCGTCCCACAGGCCGCTCAAACAAATACAAAACATGTTTCTCCACAAGCATTCCAAATTCAGAGCAGCAAAATTAAGTAGAAATAAGTAGAATCAAGTAAAACGCTAAGTAAAAATAAGTAGAAATAAGTGTAAAATAAGTAGAAATAAGTAAAAATAAGTGAAAATAATTAAAAATAAGTTCCATGCATATAACAACATAAGTTCCCTATAAGTAGCTAAGTAACTTATAAGTATCTTAAGTCCAGACCTCGTACTTGCTGAACTTATAAGTTCCAAGGTGAACTTAAAGGCTGATAAGTAGATGTTATGGAACTTGTAGTGGCACTTGTACTAACTTAATTTTGCTAACCTGGACTCAAGTACCACCTACTCACCAAGTAGGCACGTTAGAGTTGGAAGAGTTTTGCGAAGGGGGCACCCTAGCGTACGTGCAGAACTTTGAGAGCTTCCTCCTCCCGCCTCAGGACCAGCATTTGGGAAAGACGCCAAGCATTATGGTGGAGGCCTGCCACTGGGCTGAGGTTTGTTCAGGGCTCGTTCGACGGGGGGTGTGTCGCCTCATCTCACCACATAGGGGGACGACCTCTACTGAACGGGCTGTTTGCGGTTAGCAAGCAGGAGCAGGCAACAGACACCCAGGGGAACACTTTTGAGGTCTGTCGTTTGATCATGAATCTGGTGCCAACGAATGGGTGCTGCAGAAGCTTGATAGGAGACACTTCAACTCTACCAAGTGTTGTGGGCATGTCTTCCATCGTTCTTGAGGATAGCCAACTCCTAGTGACATCGTCAGAGGATATACGATGTTTCTTCTACTTGTTCCGGACGCCGTCCAGCTGGTGGAAGTACATGGGGTTTGGACGGGAGGTACCCAGGGAGGCCCTCCCAGTAGGTTTCTCTGGAACAGGGTGGCATCTGGTGACCCAGGTGTTGCCCATGGGGTTCATCAATTCGGTGGCCATTGCACCGGAGGGTGATTAATCAAGCTTTGAAAGGCGAGGCTAGGTTGGCATCCGGGCATCAGGAGATTCGGCGTGACCGGCCCGCTAGCAGTGCGCCGCACCTTTTTTCGGGTATATTTGGACAACTATGATGAGCTAAAGAAGGTGGACAGGACACTGGCAGACATGTTGGCAGGAACCCCATCGGCCTGGACCTTAGCAGTAAGGCAAACCTATGAGACGTTGGGACTCCCGAGACATCCAAAAAAGGCCGTGACCCAGGCAGTGAAGGCAGAGGTACAAGGTGCTTGGGTAGATGGGGAGCTTGGCAAAGCAGGGCCCAAGCCCGAAAAGGTGATGAGGTATGTGAAGTTGGCGTGCGAAGCAGTGATCCAGGGCAGAGCGTCGCAAAGGGCTGAATGCGATCTGGAGGCGTGTTGTTGAGTTGGGTGAGTTGCGGCCAACCCAGCGTGCCCCCTTGGGAGCTGAAGTGGAGCATGAGCTGTTGCGTTTTGTTGCATTGACCCCTTTGGCCTTCATGGACTTCCGGACGCCCATTTCTGAACACGTGACAGCAAGTGATGCGTCCACCACGGGGGGGTGGCTTGTGCGTGTCCAGAAACCTGAGTCCCTATGGTGTTGCGGCCAGCATGGCCAGTTGCAGGGGAGATGTGATCTCCCAGGATGAGGTCAACCCCATCTTGGTTGTGTCGCTATTTGATGGCATTGGAGCGTTGCGTGTAGCAGTTGACTCACTTCAGGTGCCTGTGGCCGGTTATGTGTCCGCTGAGATCTCCCCAGAAGCTAGGAGAGTGGTGGAGAGTTGGTTCCCGGAGGTGATCGCTGTCCCAGACGTACAGAGCATTGATGAAAACGAAGTCAGTAGTTGGTGCTTGCGCTTCCCAGGGGTGTGCGCCGTGCTCTTAGGCGCCGGGCCACCATGTCAAGGCGTTTCAGGACTAAACGCTGATCGCCGTGGTGCGTTGCGCGACGTGAGGTCTTGCTTGTTTTCCCATGTCCCTAGAGTGGAAGGCCTCCTGAAGCGCTTTTTCACATGGTGTCCGACTTACACCCTTGTTGAGAACGTCGCGTCCATGGATGCCGCAGACTGTCGCGTTATGTCACAGGCGTACGGCTTGACGCCATGGTTGGTGGATGCTTGCGGAGTGTCAATGTGTCGGAGGCCACGCCTTTACTGGTTCAACTGGGAGCCCAGAGAACTAAAGGGGGCCACCGCAGTCTGTGGGGGCACCCATCAGCTCCCGTTGGCCGGCGTGTACGAGTTGAAGGCCTCTGTTGATGAGCGTGACTTCCTTGAGCCAGGGTGGAAACGTACATCCCCTAGCAGTTTACCAACCTTTACCACGTCAAGGCCTTCACCCACGCCCGGACGCAAGCCAGCAGGTCTCGCACTCTGCCCCCCCGAGGCTGTCGCCAGGTGGCGTGCTGACCAACACAGATTCCCGCCATACCAATACCGGTGGGAGAACTCCCTCATGAACTCCAAAGATGAAGTGCGTGTTCCATCTGTCGCGGAAAGGGAGTCAATCCTAGGATTCCCCTCTCAGTATACAGCCAAGTGCCTGCCCAAATCTGAGACAGGAACCACCCATTGCAACGACATTAGACTCAGTCTCTTGGGCAACAGTTGGTCGGTGCCGGTTGTCGCGTGCTTGCTACATTGTTTGTTTGCTACTTTGGGGTTGAATGAGGTGAAAAGTGTTCAAGAACTGGTCGACCAGCTCACGCCAGGAAAATGTGCAAACATGGCGGGGTTGTTGATGCGGCCGCCAATGCGGCATACGACTCAACAGGGCCAGGAATCTCAGGGACTCGTCAAAAAGCTGTTGGGGCAGGTCTCTGTCAAAGGTGAAGACATATTACTACAGCTGAGTACTGATATTCCTGCCCGCTACCATCGGTTGCGTGCCTCTATCCCTGGCAAGTTGTGGCGATGGCGTGACGTTGTTGGTTGGCGCTGGACCGGAGAAACCGAGCATATCAATTCCCTTGAGCTTCGGGCAGTGAAAACTGCCTTAGTGTGGCGAATCAAAGAACTTCAAGAGTTTGGGGCCAAGTGCTTGCACCTTGTTGATTCACTTGTTGTTCTCCACGCTCTCTCACGTGGCCGATCGAGCAGTAGGAAACTCAGAAGGACTCTTGCAAAGATCAGTGCGCTGTTGTTGGCTAGCGGGCTCCATGTAGCCTGGGGCTACATTGATACAAAGCAAAACCCGGCGGATAAACCATCCCGCCGGCCCGTTCGCAAAGGATGGCTAAAAGCGCGAAGAAGATAGTTGAAGGCCGCAGCAAACAACAGCGCCAGAAAGTTCGCAAGAGTCTCGGAAAGTTGAAAGATCTTACTGTTCAGCCGCGTACTCGTCAAAGATATGCTCAATCTCTACATTTGTTCTTGGACTGGTTGACAAGGGAGGGGCTCAGCCTGCCCACAAAGGCCTCCCAGATGGACCACCTTGTCTCTGACTACCTCGAATTTCTGTGGGCCACAGGCGAAGGGAAATCAGTTGCCAATAATGCCCTGGCGGCGTTGCAGGACTACGACCCAAACCTCAAAAAGAAGCTTCCAGGAAGCTGGCGCCTGATGAAGGCATGGAACACTGCTGAAATCCCGAATAGAGCTCCACCGCTTACGCTGACCTTGCTGAACGCGCTCTGCGGTTGGAGCGTGCTCCAAGACTGCCCTGAGTTTGGTCTGTCGCTGCGGGTTGGCTTTTTTGGACTGTTGCGTACAGGTGAACTTTTAAGCGTGCGGGCTAGGGATGTGTACCTCACTACCTCCAAAGGTCCAGCTGTGATCTCCCTTGGGCTCACGAAGTCTGGGGCACGTCAAGGAGCCGCGGAAAGTGTCACCATACATGACTCCTCCGTACTGCAAGGACTCTACAGGTGGAAGATGCAGGCCAGACCACACGAATTCCTCACTGTAAAGCCTCATGCTTGGCGGCGACTGTTTAATCGCGCCCTTGAGGGACTGAAGCTCCAGCAGTATGCCTACCGCCCTTACTCCCTACGGAGGGGTGGGGCCACTTTTTCTTCCAACACCACGGTAGTTTTGACCGCCTTCTCGTCCAAGGACGTTGGGGAGCCGCGAAAACCGCTAGAATATACCTTAACGACGGGCTCGCCCAGTTATCAGAGATTTCTGTCCCTAATTCGCAGTTGCGGTCTTACCTTTCTCTGTACCAAAAGCACCCAATCCTTGAGCCTGGGCCCCGGAAGGCGCCCAGGTCAGGGGGACGTGGAGGAAAACCCGGAAAACCGTCTCTTTTTTCTGTCGTTCGAAGGGTATTCAGGAGAG